TGTCTGATGATTATGTGCAAATGATGCAGAGGTGTTGGGATGTGGATCCATCTAAAAGACCAACTAGTAGAGAGCTGTTAGATTTTGCTGAAAATAAATTTAAAGAAATTATTAATGATAATAATAGCAATAATATTACTAATAGTGGTAGTAATGCTTCGCAACAAGCACACAAATCACATCCAGATGCATATCATGCAAGTAGAATATTAGATGATGAGATCGCTAAATCAAAAAGCTTGAAAATTTATACAAGTAATGATAGTTCGTTAAATGATCTTGATTTTAATTTTTTTCTCTAAAATGTTAACAAAGGTGAATAAAAATTTCATTATTAATTAATTGTAAATTACTATCCATTAATTATTACTAACAATTAATTAAACTTTAGTAAAGCGATGAATGACTAATTAATCTCCACCATAAACTTATTACCTTCTTTTTAATTTATCTTTTTATTTTATTCTTGTAATAAATAATATTTCCTATAATAAACTTTTACAATTTTTTGATTCTCGTTAAATGGTGATATTTTGGTTAATTAACAATTATGGTCCAACTTTTGGGCTATCTTGCCAATTAATTAGTTTACGAATTTACATTGGTTTTCAATTACGAATCTGCGAGCACACTTAATGGTACCAGACAACTGTAATTAACAAAGATGGCCCTTTGCAGTGCTATAAAGTTCCTTTATTCACTTTATTTCAGCCGTTTACCTTGCAAACTTGTTTTGGTTTACTTGGAAAACAACTCAAGTAGCTTGTTTAACAGCTTTACATTCATTGACACCCACTAATTAACCAACAACGTTATTCCTAGCCTTGCTTGCTCACTAAAGCAAATAAACGTTTATCAAAACGCTTTAAACAGAGAAAATAAAGACAATGTTTTTATTTTTATTTTTATTGACGATTAATTTTATTTGATAAAATAATGATTCTATCACAGAGTTATCTATTATTTTCCTTTGCGAGGACCAGAAGTTATGCTTTTTCAAGCAAAGACCAAAAGTTATCCTTGATGAAATTTTCGTTGTCCACTACAATAATGATAAGGATAAAGATAAAGATGGGATTATTATTGCAAAGTAACTTAATCAATCATTTTATATAATTATTTGCACAGTATTTGATAATTAGTTTGACCCTGGAACATAAAGTACCGAATCCCTGATCAATGATTTATCTACCCCGATCATGTATCGCGTGTGTGGGAACTGAATTTGTATTCAGCAAAAGAAAAACTTGGCTCCTCGGAAACAACTGATGAAACAAAAAAGAGCTTGGAATATATATTTACAAGTTTTTTTTTGTGTGCTTTTATATTTATTAAGTTTTAAAACTTTTGGGTAAACAACATTATGTTGCGCCTGTTGAAAGAGGCATCTCAACAATGCGATTATCATATTTATTGCTTTCGTTATTAATGTTAATATTAACAATACAGTAAATCCTCATTTCAATTGAATTCATTAACTTCACGTTATAACATATAAAAGTCGTTGAAACGAGACTAGCAAACAGGAATTAAAAAAATTAGGAACCCGTTTGACTTGAGATTTGTTCGGAGCCCTAAGTCTATACCTTCGACCACAAACCATTCATTTACAGTATATGGATTGAATCTGGGTGGTCATCTGGATATCTTGCTAGTAAATGGGCAATGATTACAAATTAGACAAATTCTCGTAACAGAAATCATAGAAAGTCAATACAAATATTGTAAACCTGACCAAAATGGATAAATGGATGTTTTCCTCTGAAGATTGTAAATTCCGTCGACTTAAAATTTTTTTTTGTTTTGCTTCCAATTCAACCTTTAAAAGAGACTTTTTTCAGCAGATTAAGAAACAGGTTAGGAAATAAAAATCAATAATATTGTATGTACATATTGAATAACACTGAATATGAAAAGGCTATTTTTCTTGAAATTGCTATTGTTCATCGATCAGAAAATCTGTATTGGCAAAAGAACCTTCTACTATTGGAATTATAATATACCTCTTTCTCGAAAACCCATCTTAGCTGGACGTATTTATTTTGAAATCACATGATAAAGAATGGTATTATATCAAGGGTACAAGCTTATGCATGCAACCCAAATTTTTATCACTGTTAAATTGAGTCCGAATAATTTCGGATATAATTCGGCTGCTATTAAAATTATTATTATATGAAAAACCAATTTCGGATCGGCAATGATCATTTTGGTTAATGTCTGATTAGCACTTACCATAACTTATTTGATGTTTTAGGCACCCCTTTTTCTCATCGCCAAGTATGAATATAGCATACAATATAAATGCTGATCGCACACATTTTGCCATGCCAAAATTTGTGAAAGTTAAAGCGCGAATTGCGACCCTGAAGATTCATTCAATCAAACATACATCACGAGGGAGAGGCTTTAAACATATTAATATGGTGGGTTTTTTTTTAAAGCAATATTTAAGGGGGGATTTTTTTAAATATGTATATTTATTGTATTTATTTTAATTAATTCAAAAAATTTTTTATTTTAAAAAAAATTTTGATGTGTTGATAATCATAATAATTATTATATGGAAGGTTTCTAGCAAAATCTGAACTGGAGACCCCCTGACTGAAATTGAGATATTAATTTACAACGTGAGGATTATAATCGGAGAGAATGTTATTATATATTAATATACCATATTTGCTTAATAAAAAATGAGTGAGATACAAGGCTTAAGATATTTTCCATTATAATTAAAAGCATATGTGTAACAAAATTTTCAGGGGTTGATTTCTCAAAATAATTTTATAATCCGCGTGGATGAGTGAATATGTATATAATAATGATGAATGAATGAAAAATTGATATTATATATTATATTCTAAACATAATAAAATTTCGTGTAATTCGTGTTAATTCATGAATTTTCTCAAACATTTTTTTGATCAATTTTAATATTAAACACACAACAATAAAGTACAAATACATCATTTACTCATTTTATTGCATTAATATTTATTTGGTCATTTCCTAATTACAAGAAATTTCGATGTCTTTTCTCAGAATGAATGAACAAATATATAATTATAATTACTATTATATAATAACAATAAATAGGAGATATAAAGTTTAATGACCCTGATGGCCGACCAGACGGATTATAAAAATAAACCAGCACAAAATCTTGTTTAATACTTGGTCACGTGATAAATGAAGGGTAGTTTTCTGTCAAACACATCAATCAAATTTAATACATTAACGTGTGGATAAGTGAAAAAGAATGAATTGATTGTTGTACCTTTGGATTATTAATATATTAACTAATATTAAAGATTTTCTATTTTTTTACAAAGTGTCCTCTCCTTATAACAATATATTTTTTTGTTTACAAAATATGCGATGCTATTAATTAATCGAGTAACGAATCAGTTATCATCTTTATTTAAAAAGTAAAAATAAACAAATTTTGAAACTCGACTAATTAGTGTTACGGTAAATTCCTCCTTTTGATGATCCGCAAGCTATAGTTTAAGTAATACCACCCCTATTTTATTATTATTGTTATTATTATTTATTAATACCCCTTCTTTTCTTTCTCCATATTAATATTTATTTATTTTTTTTGGTACCCGAATATCTTATACAATAAAAAAACTTAAAAAGAGCTTAGAATATTTTTTTTTTTTTTTTTCAAAAATCCACAAGTTTTGTGTATGTGTTATTAGAGAGAGATAATTTATTATTATTATCTTCTTTACATTATTATTACATTCATAAGAAATATTTACATATTTTTGTTTCTTCCTGAAATCAGCGATTGGAAGAAGAAAAAATATTAACAACTTTAGGTAAACTAATTTTCAACATTTTTTATTTTAATTTTAATTTTTATTATATATTTTATTATTATTACTTTTCTCGATCTATAAAAAAAACATAACCTTTAAATCTTTTTTTTTTTTATCAAAACCTTTCACCCTCCCTTTTCTAAAGTTGATTTTTAGACACACCTCGAACAGCTTTTTTCCCAGTTTATTTCACCTTCCATAGTGCAGTTCTTCCTACCGTTTCATTCCTTTCTCCACCATTATTCTTCCTCCTTCATTTAAAATCCTCTTTACTACTTCTCATTTCCCATTTACTCCTTTACTTTACTCATTAATTATTGGCATATTTTTACCCAACTTTCTTCACATTCTTTTTTTCTTGATTTATTTCTTACTCTAAGGAATTCATTATTTTTTATTCATTCAACTTTAAATGATTTATTTTATGCCTCATATAACGAAATCAAAAAGTTCAACAAATTCCATTTAAAAAAAACCCAATTTAAAAAAATAAATTACGACATAGAAACGAATTATTTTTACACAACAAAAAAAATTTTTAAAAAATTAAAATCAAATATATAATAAAATATGGTCGATTCAACGAATCAACAAGTCATTAATAATTATGTAAGTGTGTGATCCAAAAAAATTTTTTTTTTAATTGTATATGTTTCAAAATATTAACTAACCTTCTTTCTTATCATCGTCTTCTTCTTCTTTATTAAAAGCAATTGGGTGACTGCCTTGGAAAAGGTGCGTTTGGCTCAGTTTACAGAGCATTAAACTGGGAAACGGGCGAAGCCGTTGCTGTTAAAAAAATAAAACTTAGTAATATACCTAAATCAGATCTAAATTTTATCATGGTTAGTTGATTTGATTAAATCAGTAGTGGTTTTTTTTTTGTGGTTTTTTTTTATTTAATTTTTAATTTTATTTTTAATTTTATTAATTTATTAATAGACTGAAATAGATTTATTAAAAAATCTAAATGTAAGTATAATATATTTAAAATTTTAATTATTATTTAATCAATGATTGATTGATTGATCAATAATTAATCAATGTCACGAAATTATTTATTTATTTTTTTAGCATCCAAACATTGTAAAATATAAAGGATTTGTTAAAACAAGGGAGTTTCTATTTATAATTTTAGAGTAAGTTTAATCATTTTGTTATTGGTTGTGTAAATATTATATATAACCTTGCTTTACTCAAGTTTAACTTAATTCTCCCATTTTTCATTTTAAATCTTTTATCTTAAATCTTACAATATATTAATCCTGCATTTATTTAATTGATCCTTCATATCCAGGTACTGTGAAAATGGCTCATTACACAATATTTGTAAAAAATTTGGTAAATTTCCTGAAAACCTTGTAGCAGTATATATAAGTCAAGTGCTAGAAGGATTATTATACCTACATGAACAAGGTGTAATACATCGTGATATCAAGGGTGCGAACATATTAACCACAAAAGAAGGTTTAGTAAAACTGGCTGATTTTGGTGTGGCAACTAAAACAACAACATTGGGCGATTTTGGTGTTGTTGGCTCTCCGTATTGGATGGCTCCAGAAATTATTGAATTATCAGGTGCGACCACATCATCGGATATTTGGAGCGTGGGATGTGTCGTGATTGAACTGTTGGAAGGCAAACCACCATATCATCATCTTGATCCGATGCCTGCACTTTTTCGAATAGTGCAAGATGAACATCCTCCATTGCCCGAGAGTGCATCTCCGGCTGTAAAAGATTTTTTAATGCAGTGTTTCCATAAAGATAGTAATTTACGTGTTTCGGCAAGAAAATTGTTAAAACATCCTTGGATAGCAAACACTAGGAAAAATAATGTAGTTATTATTAGCACTAATCCTAATAACACTGGTGGCAATAGTAGTAACATTAATGCTAGTGGTGGTAGTAGTAGTAATAATAATAATGATAGTAATAGTAGTGGTGGTGGTGGTGGCGGTGATGTAAATCGAAATGATGATGCTAATTCTAATATTAACAATAAGGAAAATATCAACGATAATAATAACATTATCAACAACAATATCAATAATAACAAGAACAACAACAACAATGATAACAACAACAATGACAATGTACCGCGTCCTGTAATATCAACAGAATACGAAGAAACAATAAAAAGTGTACAAGAGTGGAACAAAGCATTAAAAGCTTCAAAATCTAATATTAAATTACCACCAGCTTTTAATAGGCGAAGGAAAAGTGAACAAATTAAGTTACAATTGTTATCATTACCATCACCGTTATCGCCAAAATCAGAACTTCCCCAAAGATCTTCCACTGATCCGTCATCATCATCGTCAACAAATTTTGCACCATCACCATCACCCTTACAACCTCCATCGACATCTTCACCAGTATCACCACTATCTGCTAGCGATAATGTTAACAGAAAGAAATCAATTGATCAAGTATCAATAGTTGATAATAATTGGGACAATTTTGTTGATTTAGGTTCAAAAAATTTAACGGTAGTTAGTACAAACAATGCACAAAATAATAGATTATCAATGGTCGATTTGCAACCTGATAGTGAAGATGATAATTGGGATGATGATTTTGATGACTCGATAACTATCACAAAAATCGCTGCTCATCAAAATAAACAATTAAATAATAAAAAAGCCAAGAAAAAAAATAATATTGGTGGCGATGATGATACCAAAATTTCAAGTCCTAAAAAACATTCGAAAGGTAAAGAACCTATGGAATCATCTCAAATCAATGGTGAAACTAATATTAATAATACAAATAGTCTTGTTGACAATGCTATCAATAATAATAATAAAAACAAGAATCTTGGAATTTTAAAAACACTTTTTAAATCTCAAGAAAAACAAAATAACAATAACAATAATTCTAAAACACCTACAACTGCGGCAACAACAGTAACTAATAATGATAGCTCTAGTTGGGAGCATACCCAGGATACTGTTATACATTTATCACAACAAAATACATTAACTAAAAAAATCAAAAAAATTACTTCAAGAGGCTCATTAAAATCATCTGCATCATTTGAACCACCGTCACCATCACCATCACCATCACTGACTTCGTCACCATTATTACAACAACAAAAAAGATCTAAACCATTACAAATAATAAGACCCATATCATTATCAGCACAGCAACAACAAAAACAACCAATAAAACCAATCTATTCAACTTCTTTAACAGAAAATCACATCACAATCTTTTCATCATCCCCAAACAACACCACCAATGCAAGACCTAAATCTCCTTATCCTCCAAATCTATTTAAACAACATCGTCGTAGGGTCAGTGATTTAGAAGCCAACAAACGACCATTTTCTTATATCAATGGTCTACAAAATTCTACATCATTATCATCTGCATCGTCATTACCAGATGATAAACCTTTACCACCATTACCACGCTATAATAAATCTCCTAATTCTGCTGGCTTAGGATTGTTTGATTTGTCATCCACACAATCATCAGATCATAAAAATCAGTCACCGTCATCATCATCATTTACAAAAGAAATAACGAAACAGTCGCAATCGTCACATAGATCATTATCAAGCCGGGTTTCAGCTCCTGTCCTACCAAGCATTGAGATACCTGATTCTTATTATGATAAAGTTCTGTCTACAAGTGCAACAAGTAATATGAGTAACGCATCACCAATCTCGCCACTTCGTGATACACCAAGTCCAAATGAATTCCAAATTTATCAAGATGACGACGATGACGATGATTATGATAATGTATTTCGTGATGAGGAAAATGATGGCACGATTTGTGTTGCTAGTTCTAGCAGCGCTGTTGTCAATAGTGCAGCTGGTGGTGATAAACAATCATTAATGATTAAATCAAGACCTACTAACAATAGTTGGCTCGCCGAGGATATAAGTGACGAAGATGATCCATTTGCAGAGATTGAGGAGAAATTTGACGAGATGGACATGGAAGCTTATATAGCTAGAGACAAATATGCTCATGCGTGTTCAAGGCTAGAAGAACTTATTAACGCGCTACTGCCTAATGAGAGCGAAGAGAGATTATTGATCACATGTGGTTTATTGATTGATCTTTTGAACGAACATAAACAACTTAAAAGTCATTTCATCATTTTTCATGGCGTGATACCGATCATTGAAATATTGGAAATATGTGTCTACTCAAGTGTATTGACCAAGCTACTGAGAATAATTAACATCATCATCGAGGATAATATTAACTTGCAAGAAAATTTATGTCTGGTGGGTGGTATACCTGTGATAATGAATTTCACCTTGAAACGATACTCATATGATATCAGATTGGAGGCCGCAACTTTTATAAAACACATATGTCACACCTCACCCATTGTACTGCAAATGTTTGTTTCGTGTAGAGGATTGAAGGTTTTGGTGGAATTTCTACAAGAGGATTACAATGACCGCAAGGAATTGGTTTGGATAGCTGTTAATGGAATCTGCAGCGTTTTTGAACTTCAGAGTCCAACTCCAAAAAATGATTTTTGTCGTCTATTGGCAAAAAATGGATTGTTAGATCCGTTGGCAAACACGCTTCACGATGTTATAAAGGACGAAGATGAAAAGGCCTTCATTTATATTAACAAAATAATCAATATATTTTTACAATTCTCACAAGCTGACACCTATGTAACTGAAGTGATGGCAACCAAAACTAAGGTGATATCAAGAATTTTTGAAGAGTTGGATGAATTGCCAGCAAACATGGTTGTCTCGTTGCTTAAATGTATAAAAAATATGTCAATGAACTCGAACACTCTGGATGCATTACAAAAAGCGGGAGCTATTCAAGTATTGACCGCAGTGTTAGATAAACAAAGTCCACCATACATCACCGAAATCTCGAATCAAGTTCTCAACACAATGTTTAATCTATGTCGTATAAACAAGTCAAGACAAGAGGAAGCGGCGAAAGCCGGGGTCATACCACATTTGCAATATTTTGCGTCTAATAAAACACCACTAAAGCAATTTTCTTTGCCTATATTATGTGATATGGTACACACAGGCGAATTGTGTCGTGACTTGTTGTGGAAACATGATGGCTTGCAGTTCTATTTAGAATTGTTGATTGATCCCTATTGGCAAGTAAATGCTTTGGAAGCAATACTTGCTTGGCTACAAGAGGAAACACAAAAAGTTGAACCAATTCTATTGCAACCCAAAAATGTTGGGCACATGCTCGAAGCATTTGTTACAGCAAAAGCAAACTCTTTTGAAAACGTTCTTGAACCATTACACATGATAGCCCAGAAATCGCCATCATTGTCATGTGAAATGGCTCAGCCTAAATTTTTCAAACGCCTATTACAACGTTTGTCACATCCAAAAGCTGTTGTCAGGCTCAACTTGTTACGTATATTAAAAACCGTTTGTGATTCGCATCCACAACGTGAAGATGTTATAGCCAAATATGAATTGTTTGACGTTATTGATAAAATGAGCAAGAATGACCAGGCGGTTTTGATCAGAGAGTTGGCCAAAGATATACTTATGCAGGGTTATTTTATTCCAAAGCAGCAGGAACCTATTACACCTACTTTATCACAATTTCCAAACAACAACAGCAACAATAACGACGACAACAACAATAAGAATAATGATATTAAAAAAGATATTAAAAAAGATAGTAGTATTAAAGATCCTTTTAGTCCTGGTATATCATTATCGTCATTGGCTGTTAGCAATCCGCCAGCAACATCTTTATCGCAAGACGTTATATCTGAGGAGGAAGAATATGCTACTAGTTTTTATACCAATAGTCATGTACCGTTTACATCATTCAAAGATAATTTGGTTAACAATTCTGCTTTGCCCGTTGAAGGGTACGGCGTGAATCTGAGTTGACTATCAGCGGTTCAAGTTGAAGATAAAAGTCCTTCACAAAACATTAAAAATAACAACAATAATACTAATGAAGAAAATGACAATGCTACTGATAATAACAAAAATAACAACGAAAATCAATCGACATTAAAAAATTTACCTCAACAAAGAAATCAAACTCAAATACAACAAATACAAATAAAAAGACGTAAACGTGCTTTATCATCGCCAATCACATCTCATTTATCGACAATATCAGAACAAGAAACAGTAAAACCTAAAAGACCTTTATCGACTCCATTTGAATTATCATTGGATCAAGTGATTGAACAAGGAGGAGACAAGTATTCACCGGCGTCATCATCACCATTAACAACATCACCACCAATGTCTATATATAATTATTATAAACAACAACCATCATCTTCATCGTCATCATCATTACAAAACGCTTCAAGGAAAACTTCTTCGACTTCTATTTCCTCAACTCCAATAATACCTAATAGTAATTATAGACAACAACAGCAACAATTGCCTTCTCAAAAGAAAAGACCAGTTTCTTTTGTTTCACATCCACCAAATGGCAATGATTCAATTAAACTTCCTCGTTCAATCTCATTAAAAAATCGTAAAAATTCTCAACAACAAAAAATTTTATCATCAGCATCATCTACACATTCGTCGATTAACAACAACGAACAACATTTATCAACAATAAGATCAAGTGTATCAGCTACTTCTACCGACACAAATACTTCTACCAACTATTACAACTACAATAATGATTCAGGAGCTGTCTCACTTTTCCCATATGATCATATTCGTAAAAGAGAAAGTTCACGAAAAATTAAAGGTATAGCTTATAACAGATCATATAATAGACAAGCTATGAATGAAGAGGAGGCAACAGAATCTGTAGCACCATCAATTAATTCAATTGGTTCAACAAATATTGAAACAGAAGGTGGCGTTATAGCAATGAAATTTGGAACAAATTCTTCTAGTGCTACTACTGCTACTAATGCAAGTATGAAAGGAACGAAAAATGAACACACGGATCGTCATCATCATTTACAATCTTCAATGTTTGTATGGTTGAAAAAAAGAATGATGGGAGGTGGGAATAGTAAGATTAAGAAAGGTAATCATAACAGTGGTGGTAATAGTAATATTGGTGGCAGTAATAATAATCGAAATGATGATATTGGTCGCAATAACGAGAATAGTACTAATCAGAGAGAAAATAGGAATTGATGATTGCGTTATAAGTCGATAATTTATATATATATATATCACATTGATTGATTTATTGAACAATTTTCTTCAACTTGAACCATACTTTGAATTATTTTCAATTTTTTAATTTTTTAATTTTATTTAATGAACAATGGTTACCAAAAAGTACGTTATTAATTATTAACATTAATAGTATTTTAATAAAACAATTAATAATAGTAATAGCAATAATAATAATAATAGCAGCAATTAGTAATATTAATAATAATTTTAATAAATAATGTAATTTATTGTCTTTTAATCAAATATTTGCATATATGCGAATTATTATTTTTGTAAATTTTTTATTCTCTTTTATTTCATTTATGACATATATAATATGTAATATATAATAAAAACTGATTTATATATATGTATGTATGTATATGTATATATGATGATAAATAAAAAAGTTCATCCTTGAAGAATAAAATATATGAGAATGCCGAACGCCATACACGTCACGGGCGTCAAATTCAGTCATTGTTTTTTATAGCAGCAGTCAATTTATACACACCTCGTTCTACATTGCATTCTGCCCATTACACCAAAGTGAAAGAGAGGTCCCTGAGGTACAGGACAAGGTTGGGTGACGAAAATATTTTGGGGTGCAAAAGGTATTTCGTCAAATGGGCACATGTGACGAAACGTGACGAAAGTGATGAAAGAGTAAAGTAAAGTGTCAAAATTATGAAGAAGATGACAAAAGTATAAAATTCAATTTTATTTAGATTTAATTAAAACAAAAATTTAATTTTAAACATTTTTTCTACATCGTAAATCATGTTTCTTGGTTGAATATTTAATTTTTGTACGTAAATTTTAGTAGGAATTGCTTCACATCAATTGCTAGTTTCATAACTTTTTTCAAAATCTGTAGAATCATCCGATAATTCCGATTGTTGAAATGCTTCTTCATTTACTATTTAATGAAGTGTAACTATACATCATACACAGGACATCCTGTAGCCAATTGTTAAACGAACTTTAATGTTGCAAATTCATATATTATATGGTGAATTAGAATTTGGCATCAATGAATTTTAATTTTTTAAATTTATTCCATAATTTAAAATCTACAAAATAATTGGTTTATTTTATTGTTTTGTTGATTTCGTCACTTTCGTCACCTTCGTCAAAGTGTAGAAATCCTATTTCGTCACCCAACCTTAGTGCAGGAGTTGGTAAAAGATCATATGTCTTCAATAATGACCCATGGACTTGGGTTAATAATAGCAAAGAATAGGCAATACTAACAAATGGATTTGGGTCCGAGTATTTTTCCCGCTCTGGCAATTTTTAACTTATATTTTATAAATTATAAAATAATTTTCTTATCTTTCCGTAAATAAATAAATTTCCACTAATTTATCATTTGCACAAAATTTTTTTAAAAATTATTTTAATTTTCAAATCTTAAAAATGACAACGACTGGAACAATTCAACAAGAATTAAATAAAGCAAGAATGGATTATGAGAAGGCAGTGGAGAACTTAGAGGAGTGGGAGAAGGGGAAATGTAAAGGGGAAAAGTTGGATAAGTTAGAGGAAGTGTTGATGGAGGGGAACTTGAGTGAAGACAAGAGGGAGAGGTGGGATAGACTGTTGAAAGGAAAGAAATTGTTGGAAGAGTCGAAGAAGAAATGGGAAGAGCAAGTAATATTCTTACAAAAGTAATTAACTAAATTTAATGAAGAAAAAAGGCAATGAACAAATTACAAATTGCTAAAAAAAATATGCGAAAAATTATTTTCCATTCATTCCATTTCGTTTGTTTATTTATTTGGCATATTGTTTATAACATTAACTGACTTGTGCTTTTTTTTCTCTTCATATTATCAAATGTTATTGTTTATTTCAAAGGTTTTAAACGGTCGCCCTTTGACTCCGGTCAACAATGCATGAAAAAACGGAGAATTGTGAAAACCGAAGGTCCAATGAATTATACGGAAAATTTTATTGTCCCGTTTGAGACACTTCATTCCTATCATGAACTTGTAGGAGCTATAGAATCACATGTATATGTACCCTTTGTGAGTCAGGAAAGTCATAGACTTTACATTACCTAGAAAATTAGGATGTTAGCCGTTTAAAAAATCCTTAGCCGGCTAAGCCGTTTACTACCTAAATTGGTAATCTTATTTCTATAACCAGAAGGTAGCATGTAAATCCGTTACCAAATTTAGAATTTATGCATGCAGATTATTAACCGGCTAACATCACTAATGAAAATAAAGAAAATCACATCTACATACATTCTTCTTTGACACATGAAACAATCATTTCACAGAATTCATTCATAATCATACACAGAAAAAAATACCAGCAGTCAATCATATTAGGAAATATTTTACACATGAGAACCAAGATTCAAATAACAATTTAATCAATGATGCAAAAAAACTTTTGGGGTGCTTCTTGCAAGCTGGAACCCTGCAATTTTCTGAAATCACTGAAGAAGAATTGGTTGCTATGACACATCTTTGTGCAATAGGAATCATAAAAGAAAGGAAAAGTCAGTTAGAGTTCACATCCAATATTAGCTTTGATCTGTTATCAAGTAGATATTATCCTTTCTATGTAGGTATTCACTGATTCAATATTTTAGCACACCTCAGGATTTTTTGATGAATGAAAAAAAAACCTATTTACAACAACAAAAGGTATTTAGTTTATTTGTGATTATAATTATTTTTTTGAATTGAGTTAATAACAATAGTTGTATCAGTAATGATGATAGTAGTAGATATGATAATTATGGAAGTAATAATAACTCAGTAATAATAATAGAGCCAGAAATAATATAGACATTTTGTTTTGTTGAATCTAATAGCAAATGAAATAAGACTAAAAATTTTGTAATACTTGTTTTAAAATGATAAGTTATAATAAGTGATGTAAATATATATAAACCTTGTTATAAATAAAACATGGTTTATATGACCCATAGAATATATCCTAAATTAAATTAATTATTCTATAGACTTCATAATCTTCTAACAAATGAACACTTCTATTTCCATTAAATTATTTCTATAAGAATCAACAGAAAAATTAGAATAAAAAGAATAATTGGGGCATGCTTCAACAAAACCAGACAAAGTGAACATTGATATTATCAAAGATTTCAAGGATCAAAATTTAGTAATGTGATTATTAAAA